TATGCATCCTTTATTGTGGAGTAACAATGGTCCAGTATATTACTGTCTCTGTTGGGACATGTAACATGATGTCTGTATTTTGGCAGTTCACAGGAAAGATTTGCTTTATTAAAGTCCCCAAGAATGATTAAAAGAGTCCGGGTGTTATTGCTCTGTGTCTGTGATCTGATCAGCGAGTTTCTGTAAAGCTGAGCTCATGTGCGCGTGCGGTGGAATGTAAACACTCACGAGAATGAATGAGTGAAACTCCCGTGGCGAATAGAATGGCTAACAGTTAATGAAAAGTGATTCTAGATCGGAACAGCACATCTTCTTTAACACTGGTTACATCTGTACACCACCTTTCATTGATGTTGAAACATGTCCCGCTGCCACGCGATTTTCCCGTTGATTCTGCATCGCAGTCCGCTCTGAACAGCTGGAAGCTCGGCAGATTTAACACGCCGTGAAACACAGAGCAGCAGAATGTGAAAAATCCTTATTTGTATGGGAGCGCAGAAGAAGTTTGTCCGTTTTGTTGGGTAGAGAGCGGAGATTCGCCAGATGAATGATAGGCAGCACCGTTCGAAATCCGTCTGAGCTTCACGAGCGTGCCGGCTTGCTTCCCCCGTCTGCGCGTCCTGAAGCGTTTGATCAGTGCCGCTGCTCCGCCATATACAACGTTCAGCAACACGTCCGAATAAAATGAAATCTGGTAGAAGATTGTGTGGTGTGTACTGCCGAATGTTCAGCAGTTCATCCCTGGTAAAACTGATTCTGTTTGAGAAATAAAAAACAGGAAAAACTAACAAAAACTGAAGAGCCGATCACTGAGGCTTCCATCTGCGGTGCCATCTTGGATTGATTCTTCAACATGTCAGGGAAAAAAAAAAAAACTGAATCACTGAGCTGGAAAAAGAATCACCCGCTCCTAAAAATGACTTGTAAACTCAATCAGGTGTAGCTAATCACCTTCTCAATGGCACACAAAGCCATTTGACTTTCAGCTGTGATCAGCTGTGCTCATTTTGAATAGCTCAGCATTAAAAGACTTTTGCACTACCAAGGACTGAAGAATTTCAGTCCTTGGTAGTGCAAGTGAAGCAAATAATCAACTATGATGTTGCTCCAAACTGGATGAAAGAGCTAGAAGGAAACTGGTCAGAGAGGCTACCAAGAGTCCTACAGCAACTCTGAAGCATTTGCAGGAATTTATGACAAAGAGTGTTCATTGTATGCATGTGACAACAGTATTTCAAATTCTCCACAAATCTGGCTTGTATGGGAGTGTTACAAGAAAAAAGCCACTCCTCAAGAAAGGCCACATGCTGTCAGACTGAGCTTTGCCAAAACGCACCTTGAAGATTCTGAGGCATTTGAGACTAAAATTTGAATTATTTGGCCTCAACACCCAGGGTCATTTTAACCACTGGGCTAGGCGGGGCTGAAGCTGGGCACATGGAGCAGATAAAAACAGTGTAATCGTCCACACAGATTTTAGGTTAGTTTGATTACTAACTGGATTTATATTGTTTTTGTGTTTGAACAAACTATATTCATTTAAGGGTTGGGAGATAATCCGGTAGAAATATATCAATCGTTGATTGAAGCGCGTCATGATGTAGTCTAAGCTTATCATTTCAAGGCGTTTTAAGCAGGTTATAAAACAAATGGTTTATACTGTTCATGGACATTACGCTGCGGGGCAGAATTCATTCTGGTTCATGCGTGCATTAAAACGGTTTCTACCTGATACGCGCAGTGCGCACCTGCTCGTATTACTGACTAAACTTTCGCTCCTTGTGCTTAAACGGTCAAATACACATAGTTATGTGTCAAAATGCCCGTCTTTGCGAGTATCCTCGTAAACACAGTTATTTGTGTCTTAAATGAATGTTAATAGTTAAAGATAAAGCATGTGTTAGGCTATATGAGACCCTTAGCCTATATGATGAGATCTTAAAAGGATATTCACCCAAAAATGAAGATACTGTCATCATATACTTACCCTCAAATTGTTCTAAACCTCTATGAATTTCCTTTTCTTCCTCAACATAAAAGAAGATATTTTGAAGAATGATCGTAACCAGTTTCTGGTCCCAACTGACTCCAATAGTCTTATTTATTTTTCTTCATATATGGAAGTAGTGAGGGCCCAGCAACTGTTTGGTTACCAATATTGTTCCAAATATATTCTTTTTGTGTTCAACAGCATGAAGGAATCTCATACAGTTTAAGAACATCAACAGAATTTTCATTTTTGGGTGAACTATAATGCAGCCTAATATAGCTGCTGTTACCATTTGTGTCAATAATGTAAATCAAACATCAGAAAGAAAATAACTTACTGTCCTTGACTGAATCACCTTTGTAAAATAAATAATGAATGTATATTTAATTTATACAGTGAAGACTATTCAGTCTATTTGCACATTTTATTTTATACAATATATTTATTATTCAGTGCTTTAAGTTTTTCAAGTAGGCCGTTTTTTATGATCTTTGTTCTGTTGTAGCTTAATTTGTGACTGTTTACTTGTCTTTAGTAAGCTTATTTTTACTTAGGCTAGTATTATTTTTTTATTGATATAGAAATTTCAGTGCATCAAGAATTTTGATATGTTATAAAAAAAAAATAATAATAAAATAAAAAAAATATATATATATATAGGGTACAAGGGGGCTAAAGGTGCCCCAGGGTAAAAGGCGCCTTTGATATTATTTTCATCTAAACCACTAGATGGCACAAAAATGTGGCGTAGCACTTTCCTAAACATCCGTTTTTCAAGATGCACGTGTATATTTGTCTGATCTGTGACGCGATCGCGCGCAGCAGTGCGAAGTTGATTCTGTGCTTACTTGATCTAATATTTTATGTTTTTAAAAATGTTGTAGATTTAAGTAGCAAATGAGAATAGCTCAAATTAGTGCATTGATTTTGAGAGAAAGGTCTTCTTTATGATTTTCAGTTTTGTTTTAGATAATTAAAGCAACAGTTTTTAAATAATGAAAGAATATATAAAAGTATGGTATTTTAGCCCCCTGCTGTTGGGGCTAAAGGCGCACAGTAATTAACAAGATAATTAATAGATGGCTGACTTTTCCATTTGTTGACATGACATGGTTAGATTCAGATGGTAAATATCATATATTATTTTGGGTGTCCATATTAGAGATAATCACCATGTTTAGAATGAAACCATCATATTTAAAAACATGATATTAATCATATCATATAATAAAATATAATTTGCTGTTACTAATGTAAATATATATTCAATTATTATTGGATCTCCTTCAATACTTTGAGAATCTTTACTTATTAAAACGATTTTGTTTCAGTATTTTAAAATATATATTTTTATATTAACATTTTAATGACCGCATATGTATTGGAAAAAAATAATACTTTTATTTTTCAAAATAAGAAGAAAATAGTACAAACTTTGCTAAAGTGATTGTTTTGAACAAGTATTAACTTAGACATTATTTCTAAAAAAAAACATAATTTTAGCTGAAGTATTTGTATAAATACCGTGTGCCTTTTACCCCATGTGTGGGGTAAAAGGCCCCTCTTTTAAACAAAATAAACAACTTGAATGATTTATTTTCACACAAAATCTGTTGCTCCTTTAATGTTCAATACAACGTATATATTTTTGCAATTATACATTTTAGGCGCATTTTTTCTTAAGGTGGGCCTGGGGGGCCCTGCAGTAAGTCATAGCCCCGGGGCCCAGTGCGGTCTTAATGCGGCAGCATTGTCAACACCAAACGATATGTCTGGCGGAAATCCAATGCAGCTCACCATTCACATAACACCATTGCTACAGTAAAGCATGGAGGTGGTGATATCCTGTTATGGAGCGTTTCTCTGCAGCAACGACTGGAGCAATTGTCAGGATAGAAGGAAAAATGGCAAAATACTGTCAATTTCTTGAGGAAAATCGGCTGTCCTCTGCCAGAAAATTGTCAATGGGAAGGTTTACCTTCCAACATGACAATGACCCAAAGCACACAGTGGTTAAAGGAGAAAAAGGTGAATGTCCTTGCATGGCCTAGTCAGAGCCCAGACTTAAACCCCAATGAAAATATGTGGAATGACTTGAAGACTGCAGTCCACAAACGGTTACAAAATAAGCAAATTTAACTGAACTTGAGCAGTTCTGCAAAGAAGAGTGGTCAAATATTGCAAAGTCTAGATGTACAAAGTTAGTAGAGACCGAGACATATCCCAACAGATTAAAGGCTGTAATTAAATCAAAAGATTAATTTTTTTTTGTTTGTTTGTTTTTTTCTGACATGTATTATATCTTTCACTTGGATGTTATAAGTTGCATTGAGTAAATACAGCTTGATAAAACAAAAACTGTGTCCGTCTTCATTTCAGGCTGCAAAGCAATAAAATGTGATTATTTTAAAGGGGTGTGATTCTTTTCTATACCCACTGTAGTTTGTTTCCTTTTTTCATTGTTTTGCTTTTTGTTTTGTTGCTTTGTTCTTTATTTTTCTTGTTTTGCTTATTTAGATTTTTTTTTTTTGGTGATTATTTTAAAGGGGTGTGATTCTTTTCTATACCCACTGTAGTTTGTTTCCTTTTTTCATTGTTTTGCTTTTTGTTTTGTTGCTTTGTTCTTTATTTTTCTTGTTTTGCTTATTTAGATTTTTATTTATTTTTTGTTTGTTTGCTTTGCTTGTTTGCTTGATTATTTTGCTTGTTCTGCTTTATTTGTTCTTTGTTTACTTGGCTTGTTTTGCTGTTGTTGTTTTTTCTTTTCTTGAATTTGTTTACGTTGCTTTTTGTAGTTTTTGCTTTGCTTGTTTTTTATTTGTTTGTTTTTTTGTTTACTTAGCTTTTTTGCTTTTGGTCTATCGGGTCTTTGAATGACAGACATTTTTAGCTTCTCTCTGACTCTTAAAATTGAACAATCTTTTTGATACTTTAACTTCAAGACTTCAATAGTTAAATGAAGTGTGCTGTGATTGACTTAACTTTTCCACATGTTCCATGTGTTTTTTAGGAGTGTCTAAACCCCTGCTGTAACGCTACAACCTGCACTCTCAAGGGAGATGCTGTGTGTGCCCATGGACAGTGCTGTGAAGACTGCCAGGTACTTTTGTAAATCTGTCCCATCCCTCTTTCCTCCTCATTCGTTCTTTCTCTGTGTGTAAAATAATGGCGTGGAAATCACATTCTCCTTGCCCCATTAATAAATGCAACATGAACCGACATTTGCACTTCAAACATAGGCACTAATTTTCCTCTCAGGCCTCCAGACACATAAATCAGAGCGCTCAGCTCACTTACTTACTGAGGAAAGAAGCCAGACCAGGGCCCTTCGGAACAGACCCCAGAACAGGGATATATGTTCACACAGACTTTACAACAAACTACAACAGGCTTTCAACATAATGCTTCATTAAATGAAAATTGCAACTAAACGAATTTAATCTTGGCACTTTTTGGACTACATTTAGTTTCTTAGTGCAACATAAAGGAATAGTTTTTGGAGAACTTTTCCATGAATATTACTTGGTAGAAACAACTGACTATTTATTGTACCCAATAGCCTTTGTGATTCATGCAAAGCTTGTCTCTGCATCACTTTGAATTTATCCCATAGTGCCTGCATCGGAGTTGAAGATATATTTCTCTTTGCTTAATTTTGAAAGAAATCCCCTTTAGTTGACTGTGCACTTTAAGTTTGCTCCATTTTTGTCTGAAGCCTTTTGTTCTTGTGTCTGTGCAGTTAAAACCAGCTGGGACTCCTTGTAGAGAGTCCAGTAACTCCTGTGACTTACCTGAGTTTTGCACCGGATCAAACCCCCACTGCCCTGCCAATGTGTACCTGCAAGATGGACTCGTGTGCCACAATATGGATGGTTACTGTTACAACGGCATCTGTCAGACTCATGAGCAGCAATGCATCACTCTGTGGGGACCAGGTTGGTATGTGGATAGCTGCAGGGTTCCTGGGCTTATTTGGATGACCAAAAATTGATCGTAGGGTTCTGCAGATATACATTTTATTAATCGTACATTTTTGACACTGTAATTCTATATGTAACCATTGTCGAGCCAGATTTTCCCATTCAATCCTGCATGCATTCATATGGCGAGCTCAAGCAATATGAAAGCTCACACTGATTGCTGTTATTTATTCCATATGTCTGTTCATACTCCCTTCCAAAAGGATTCAGGCCACAGTCTGACATATGATATCCTTTCATCTGTTTTTGATTTATATACAAGCTAAAACAAGATGGAAGCATTGTACAGTGTCATATTTCCATCTCTAACAGTGGGCATATGCTGTTTTATTTTCATTCCTTTTCGTTTTCTAGGAGCGAAACCTGCCCCGGGAATCTGTTTTGAAAGAGTAAACTCTGCAGGTGATCCCTATGGAAATTGTGGAAAAGACTCCAAAGGTTCCTTTGCTAAATGTCAAGCAAGGTACAGGCAGGGCATGATACTACAGCTCTTTGCACTTGAACCTTTTACTTAAAGTACAATTACATTCATTTGTCAAATTTGCTTCAATTTTACATTTTATTATATTATTACTTTTCTATTTTGCTTTAATTTTATTTTGTTCGCTTCATATACTTTGCTTTTTGTTTTGTTCTTGTTGTTTTGTTTGCTTGCTTTTACACTTTGTTTAGTTTTCTTGTTCTGTTTTGTTCTGCTTTGTTTAATTTTGCTTTGCTCATTTCTTTTGTTTCCCTTTGCTTTGCCTTCTGTTTTGCTTGTTTTCTTCTATTTTTGATATAATATTGTTCTGTTCCCTGTCGATACTTCACTCGTACTGCATCGCTAAGACGCTATGAGGAAAACTACTTTTCTCCGATGACTGAATCCTTTTTTTAATAACACAGTGTAACTGCACGGCCATTGGTTCGTGCAGTGATATAAAAATCTAACCAATGGCTCGGCAAAATAGGAGCCTCTCACCCCCTCAAGACGTTTCAGAAGATGCTGGGTCTCATGGCCTCTGCATCTCCAGTGCTACAGCTAAGCCTGCTTCACATGCGGCCCCTTCAGTACTGGCTGAAACCGCTAGTTCCGTCCCATGTCTGGCATTTTCGTATCAAGATGGACCAGGCCTGCGCGGCAGCTCGGGCCCCTTGAAAAGATTCTCAGTGGATAGAACGGGGTGTGCCCCTGGGAATGGTCTGCTGAAGGACGGTAGTCTCGACAGACACTTCCAACACAGGTTGGGAGCACTGTGCGATGGCAAACCGGCTTTTGGCCTCTGGTCGAAAGAGGAAGGATGGCTGCACATCAACTGCCTGGAGATGCTGGCAGTGTGTTTGGGCCTTCGCACCTTCTTGCCAGACCTAAGGGGACACCACGTCCTAGGGCTGTGAAATTAATCGAAAAACAATTTCGATTTTGGCCTCCAATGATTATGAAAATACAGTAATCGAGAAAACGATTATTGCGCCCCATTCCGCCCCCTTTTCCAGCGCTGCGCTTTCGTTCCTCCATAAAAGCCCAATTTTATGTGCAAATCAGTAAAATCATGGAATGTGACTTTTGCAAAATGGGACGTGCTTGATTTATAGAAGTATATTTATTCATGTTTTTAAAAGCGTGAAAGAGAACTTGCACTGCTCCTCAGAAAGATATGCACTCAGAAACGGAACAGAACACGGACATGTAAAGTCATCTTTTAGCAATAACTCTTTCATAATAATATAATATAACTCTCGGAGGACGTTGAACTTACTCTGCCCCGTCAGGGCATTGCAGTTTTATATCGAGCGTTCCGCCCCAATCAGGCAGTCGGAACAATTCTTTATATGCTTCTGTGGCAGCACCAAAGGGCTTCCGGTCACTAAGCAGAGACTCTCCAGGTGGTAAGAGCCCATTCGACTAGAGATTATGGCCTCGTCTTGGGCATGGTCTAGCGGTGTGTCTGGGCCTTGCCATCCACATTTGACAGGTTCAATAATCTGGACATACCAGCCTTACAGGCCAGGGTCCTTTTTGCGTAATGGGCATTCTTGCCTTAGGGCACTTTCATAATAATATAATATAACTCTCGGAGGACGACCAGGAGTTGAACTTACTCTGCCCCGTCAGGGCATTGCAGTTTTATATCGAGCGTTCCGCCCCAATCAGGCAGTCGGAACAATTCTTTATATGCTTCTGTGGCAGCACCAAAGGGCTTCCGGTCACTAAGCAGAGACTCTCCAGGTGGTAAGAGCCCATTCGACTAGAGATTATGGCCTCGTCTTGGGCATGGTCTAGCGGTGTGTCCATTGCAGAAATCTGTGCGGCGGCCGACTGGGCCTTGCCATCCACATTTGACAGGTTCAATAATCTGGACATACCAGCCTTACAGGCCAGGGTCCTTTCTGCGTAATGGGCTCATTCTTGCCTTAGGGCAATTACCCCAAGCAGCCTTTGTTATGCTTCCAAGCACCCCGTTCAGTTCCAGGTGCTGACAGCAGTATGTTTGTGATCAGCTCCATTGTGAAAACCGGGCCCGTTCAAAAAGCACCCACACAACCAGGCGCTGTTATAGCGGGAAAGATAAAACACAAACATTTTCAAAAAGAGAGTATATTTCCTCTTCCACTTACCACGAGTGTCGGGTCCCCACAAGGCAATCCGCCACCCGAATTAATCCAACCCCTTGCCACACGGGCCAAGGCCCGGAGTGTCAGACTGGGTATTGCGGATAATAAAATGAGGTTACACTCTTCAGTTCGCTCTAAGATACCAGGAGGGATTTGCAGAGCACTTCACAGATGCACAGAAGTCGTCCCAGGCCATGCGACACTTCCTTCCCAAGTGCTCCAGCTCTATGGCTGCTTCTACTCAGCGCCAAGTCAGCAGCCCACAAAGCCGCACCTCCAGCCACCCAGTTGGCTTCGCAGCCTGAGCCTTGCCAGCGCTCCCACTCTGCCAGACGCTACCCATTTCCTAAAGAGCCCCCCTTTTTAGCCACAACAATTCATTGACCTTCGCCCCCTGATGTTACAAACTGTTCTGCTTCTGGCGTTAGCATCCGTAAAGCAGATGGGATCTACAGGCACTCTCTGTGAGCCTCTCTTGCCTGGAATTCAGGCCCAACGACTCTAAGGTCATCCTGAATCCAAGGCTCGGGTACATACCTAAGGTGCTCTTCACTCCATTCAGAGCACAGGTGATAACTCTATCGATGCTTCCTCCCTCGAAGGATGACCAGGAGTTGAACTTACTCTGCCCCGTCAGGGCATTGCAGTTTTATATCGAGCGTTCCGCCCCAATCAGGCAGTCGGAACAATTCTTTATATGCTTCTGTGGCAGCACCAAAGGGCTTCCGGTCACTAAGCAGAGACTCTCCAGGTGGTAAGAGCCCATTCGACTAGAGATTATGGCCTCGTCTTGGGCATGGTCTAGCGGTGTGTCTGGGCCTTGCCATCCACATTTGACAGGTTCAATAATCTGGACATACCAGCCTTACAGGCCAGGGTCCTTTTTGCGTAATGGGCATTCTTGCCTTAGGGCAATTACCAGTGCTTAGGCTTTGCCTCCCTTCTTACGCTCTTGACCCTCACAGAGTGCCGAGGCTGTAAGGGTCTTCTTGGAACAATTACTCATGGCCGAGCTGACCTCTGCGAGTTTAGCCCTATTGCTTCCTGTGGGGCATTCCCTGCTAAATACTTGGTCTCTCTCGGCCCCTTGTAATGCTTAAGGCAAGTTCAAGTATGAGTCGTTCCTCTAGCATAACACGGCGGGATTGTACTGGTTCCCCATAGCATCTTAGCGACGCAGTACGAGTGAAGTATCGACAGGAAACGCACTCGGTTACTAATGTATCCTCGGTTCCCTGAGATACGGGAATGAGTACTGCATAACTAGCCGTGCTATGCAGCTGCACAACTCAGTCATCGCTTCATTCGAAGTAACCTGAAGATCCTATGGCAACAGGCCAGATATAGCCAGATGGCTCCGCCCATTCTGGCGGGCTCTGGCAGGCTTCATCGCCATAGGCTTGTGAGCCATTGGTTCGATTTTTATATCACTGGTTGTTGATCTGGCAACCAATGGCCGTGCAGTTACACTGCATTATTTAAAAAAGGCTTCAGTCATCGGAAAATAGGAGTTTTCCCCATTAGCGTCTTAACGATGCAGTACTCGTTCCTGTATCTCAGGGAACCGAGGTTACAATAGTAACTGAGTACGTTTTGTTTGTTAAACTACTTCTTTGCCCCATTTTAACTTTTATTCTACTTAATTTTGTGGTATTTTGGCAATACAAATTCTTAACTTTTATAGTGCCAATACAGCATGCTTAATTAAAATTTAGAACCAGTGACTAACACAGAAATACCAATTTTCATGACATACATTCTCAAAACAATAAAATATTAAAATAAAGAATAAGTGAGCCAGTGTAATATCGGTCAAGGTTGTCCTGATTCATTCATGTCATTTGCTGTCTAATTATTATGGGATGGCCCATCAGACATGTTGTAAAGAAGGTAATTTTATTAATTTCTTTGTAGCCATGCCATTATTATTCAGTGACAGAGGCAGCCCCATGGTTTTGCATGTAATCTCTTGTCACTATTAATTACACTCTCGGCTCCTCACATGAGTGAGAGGGTGTGAAAGGCAAGATTGCCTCAAGACAGCACAATCTCCTCTCTGTTTTTCAGTTGTTTTATCACCTTATCCCATTTATTCAATGTAAAAACATTTAGCACTTTTGTTGCATGCTCACTCCTTGTATTTTGTCTGTGTGATTTAAACAGGGATGCTAGGTGTGGGAAAATTCAGTGCCAAGGAGGTGCCAAAAGGCCAGTGATCGGAACCAATGCGGTGTCCATAGAGACAAACATACCTCTGCAGGAGGGTGGGCGTATTCTGTGCCGCGGAACACATGTGTACCTTGGTGATGATATGCCTGATCCAGGACTGGTATTGGCAGGCACAAAGTGTGCTGAGGGAATGGTATGAGAATAAATCATCACATGATGTATCTGCTTGAGATTATGTCATCAAGAAATTATGCTAGTGGTTTATCAGCCAGGCTGAGATGATATTTGGCCATTTTTATTGCATTCCATTGGCCATTTGGTGTTTGTTTTGCTGATTAACCTCCCCAGTGTATCAGTTTCAATATCCACATCATATATTATATTATATTATATTTGTCATAATCACCAGCTGGAGTGCCTTTGATAATCACTGGAGGGCACTCCATCCCATACTGTTACTCAGTCTTGGACTTCATTTCCCATAACCCATTGCCCGGACTCATCATGACTGATTGTTTTCACCTGTTGCTCATTACCTCTGCCTATATACATGGCTGCCATTCCAGAGTCTCATCCCGTCATGACCACCAGCCCAGAGCCTCTCCGCAAGATGGCTGCCACGCCAGTGTCTTCAGCCATCATGGACACCATGCCAGTTTTCCCGGCCTTCACGAACGATGCACTTGAAGCTAGTAAGGCAGTGCCCAGGCAACCGAGACTTATGTACACTGTGGCGGACCCCCCTCTGATGTCGGTGTGAGTGGCAGGCATCCCGGTGACCTCAGCGCTTGCAAGCTCCGTGGCCTCTGCACAGGTTCTCCCACCTTCAGCTGCCCTTCCAGTAATGGCGGTCGCCATTTTGTGTGTTTGTGCTGCACACTCCTCTCCAGTTCTTAAGTCCACTCCAGAACCTGCTCCAGTCCATGAGTCTGCTCCAGCGCTCATTCCAGTCCATGAGTCTGCTCCAGAGCTCGCTCCAGTCCATGAGTCTGCTCCAGAGCCAGCTCCAGTCCATGAATCTGCTCCAGACCCAGCTCCAGTCCATGAATCTGCTCCAGAGCCAGCTCCAGTCCATGAATCTGCTCCAGAGCCAGCTCCAGTCCATGAATCTGCTCCAGAGCCTGCTCCAGTCCATGAGTCCGCTGCAGAGCCCTCTCCAGTCCACGAGTCCGCTCCAGTCCATTAGTCTGCTCCAGAGCCTGCTCCAGTCCGTGAGTCAATGCAAGTCTCAGAGCTCAGTCCTGTGTTGACGCCAGCCTGTGAGTTCCCTGCCTGTACTTTCTCAAACACATGTCACCCTTGAGCTCCCTGCCTGTCCTGTCACGGCCAAGAAGGCTGTCTCTGAGCACTTTGCCTGTCCTATTACAGCCGCAGAGGCCATTGTTAACCTCTGTGCTTTCTATTCCAGACCTGCCTGATCCGCCTTGGTTGTCACCTGCCTCGTCAGCTCCAATTTGGTGCTCATTGGCTCAGCCTGAGCCTTCTTGGTGTTAACTCGCACCATCAGCTCAGCTGAAGTGGTCTTCAGCTCCACCCTAGTTGTTGTCTGCTCCACCGTGGGGCCCTTCGGTCCCGACTGCTCCACCCTGGATTCCTGCTCTGCCGGCTCTGCCCTGGATTCCTGCTCTGCCGGCTCTGCCCTGGATTCCTGCTCTGCCAGCTCTGCCCTGGCTTCCTGCTCTGCCCTGGCTTCCTGCTCTACCCTGGTCTCCTGCTCCACCGGCTCCTGTTCCTTTTCCTGTCCATGGGCCTGGCCCTCTATCCCTCCCCCGTTTTGCCTCCGCCCCACCTCCCTCCTGAACTTGAGTCTTTTCTTGTTAAAGGAGCGTCTGGAAGCCACTCGTTAGAAGGTGGGGGGCTATGTCATGAACACCAGCTGGAGTGCCTTTTGATAACCACCAGAGGACAATCCAACCCATTCCTCTGTCACTCAGTTTTGGACTTCATTTCCCATAACCCATTGCCCGGACTCATCATGCCTGATTTTCACCTGTTGCTCATTACCTCTGCCTATATAAGCCTGGTGTTTTCAGTTAATCTTTGCGAAGTCTTGTATGTGTCATTACTGCAATTATAAGCCTTGTATCCTGGTTCTCCCATATTTTGGTTCCTGGTCTTATTCTGCCTGGTTTCTGTTTGCCTCAGTCCCTTACTCTGTCGTTGTTGTAGATTGCCTATGTATGTCCTTTGCCTGCCTTTGGATTACGTTTGTGGATTATCCCTTCAGTAAACTACTACTGTGTATGATCATTTAAAAAGACTCCTTTAATTAAATAGGCTTTCATGATGATTTTTTATTAAACTACTAAATTTTGCTACAAGTTTGATTGCAACATATAATCATTGCTGTTAATAGTGTTCATCATCTGTTTGATTACGTCATTAACTGAATTATACCGCTCATTTCTGCCATATGTATATCAATTTGACAGTCACCACTGACAAGCTACTACTAAATATACTGTAGAAACTTAATTTTATGAAAAGCTGCTTTGCAACCTTTTTTTATCGTGAAAAGCACTTTACAAATAAACTTGAATTGAATTCAATTGAATTTAATTATTTAGTATATTATTTTGAAATTGTTTTATTATAAAAAAAATTATCAGTTGTTTAGATATAGTAAAGTAATAATTGTGATTTATTTTATACTTTTGATAGCCCTAGTTTTTAACCGTAAGATATAAAATCCATATCTGCATATTTAAGTTTTTGAGTTTTAGTTTTGAGTAAATATGTAATTTTCTTACAATATGTGCATTTACATGTATTTACAGTGTACTTGCCTAAAAAAAGTAATTTAATATAATGTAACTGCATTATATTAAAGGTTTAGGGGTAGGTTCAGGGTTAGTACCTAGTTATACACAGTTAATGTAATTACTATAATAAGAACATAGTATGCATATGCGGAACTGGACTGTAAAATGAAGTGGTACCTCATTTTCTGTTAAAAAATATTATACTGGCTATTGGTATTATATTGGCCACCCTGGCACTTTAAAAAAAAACATTTCGGTCAGCCAGTAGTTAAGGCCAGTAACAAAAATGCTTCCTAGCAGTTGATACCTATTCAGTGTGTTGTTTTTTTCTTAACCTACAGTTCTCGTTGTCTCTCTTTCTTTATAACAGATCTGTTTGAACAGGCAGTGTCAGAATGTCAGTGTCTTTGGAGTGCACAAGTGCTCTGGGAAGTGTAATGGAAGAGGGGTAAGGTTGCTTCTGCTCTGTCAGTCCAAAATTTTCTCAAATCTGCTGGAAAAAGTGTTTTTTTTAATCTCTTATTTCTCTGACATTAGTTATCGGGCATTAGGCTCAGATTTGAGTCGGGAATGCTAATAGATAGTCAGCACAAATTATTGCCCTCTACTGAAAGTCTCGCTTTTTACAGAAACGTCCATTTCATTACATTATAGCTATCTGCCAAGGGGACAGCATGTGGCCATAATAGCACTTAGCTAGGTACACATTCTATAACTTCACTTGAACTAGATTACTGCTACGAATGAAATAGCATTTAAAAGCACAGATATGACACGGATTCTGTACTAAATTAGATCACAGCATAACCTTGTGTCAGTCATGGTCTTTCATGGAAGCTTGATACATTTGAAGGTATAGTTCACCCAAAATGAAAATCTGTCATTTACTCATCCTGCTGTTTTTTTTTCTGGCATGACCCATATGACTTTCTTTTATCTGGGGAACACAAAAGGAGGAATGAAGCAGAATGTCTGAGCTGCTCTTTCCTTTGTATTGAAAGTGAATGGTGACCACAGCTGTTAAGCAAGATTTTCAGGGCAAGATTCTTGTAAATTACTGCTCCTCACTAAAAGCTATGGCTTCAGAAGTCTTGGAATACAGCTTACAAGTAATATGGACTGTTTCTATGATGCTTTTTGTCCTTTTTGGAGCATGACAGGTCTTGGACAACATTCACTTCCATTGCATAGAATACTGCAGCTCGGATATCCTTCAAAACTTCACCTTTTGTGTTTCAAGGAAGAAAGTCATAAAGATTTGGAATAACATTAGAATGAGTTCAGATTTTGTGTTAACAATTATTTTTTTACTAAATCATACCCCGGTTGACCCCAGTGGCACACACTGTAAATCCCAGCATGCTGGGTGACTTGAAGCTTATCTCAGCTGTTGAAGTACTTCACAATCAATCTCTGTTGCCCCAATAAGGTTATAGGAGTCATATTGATTTCATTTATGTACCATTAAAAGTGTCATTTATAATCTTTTGGCTCATATGTACATGTGCTTTTTTGCCAGAGGAGCACTAAAATGCAATAGCTAAACATTGTGGCCAAGAATACCCCCACGTTGTCTTTTGCATTTGCACCCACTGTCAGCTCTGGAGGGCGAGCGTATAATGTTTTATTTGTTTTATTTTCTCTTGTTATACGCTTCTTAAATTGGAATTCTTATTTTTGTCTGTAGGCTAAACGGTTGTCTTTGTGAATATATTTTAAAATGTAATTTATTTCTGTGATGGCAAAGCTGAATTTTCAGCAGCCATTACTCCAGTCATCAGTGTTACATGATCCTTCAGAAATCATTCTAACATGTTGATTTGGTGCTTAAGAAACATTTCGTAATATCAATGTTGAAAACAGATGTGCTCAGAATCTCAGGATTCTTTAATGACTAGAAAGTTCAGAAGAACAGCATTTATTTGAAATAGAAATCTTTTGTAACATCATAAATGTCTTTACTCTCACTTTTGATCAATTTGTTGCATCCTTGGTAAATAAAAGTTTTTTTGGGTTTTTTCATTATTTTTTTAAACGTATTGACCCCAAACATTGTCAGACCATGGCTATCATTTTAAAATGGTGTGTATTTTAATATTTACTGCCTGGACTTTGTCTACTTACATTGTACATGTACATTTTTTGCTCTTTAAAAATAATGAGCAAGTAAAAATGTTTGTGGTAACCAACAGATGCCACAGATGCTGCAATAGAGCTTAATAAAAAAGTGGTGTATAAAAAGGGAACATCCCTACTGTAGTAATCATATTCAGCATATTTATACCTAAAACATAAAACATTTTGAAAACTTCTTAATTTTACAGATCAGTAGGAACAAAACGAGCACCCAGCCCCCCACGGACACAGTCAGTCTTCAGGGTCTCACCTCAGCACAAGCCCGCCTCTTTACCTTTACACTCCCGCTGTGACAAGGTAAGTGTGATACATATATATATATATAAAATCGTTTAGAACCTGTTCAAGCAATTTATCAGTGTAACTTTACCAAGTTGCATACAAGCATCTGTGATATGCTGTTGAAAATAATTTTCTAATTTACTCAAATAAATGGTCAAATATTTTCAGTTTTGACAGTATAAACAAAACTATACATATTAGCATGAGGCTTGTGTTGATAAAATCATCTACACTCTTAAAAATAAAGGTGCTTCACGATGCCATAGAAGAACCTTTTTTTTCTAAATGGTTCCATAAAGAACCTTTAACATCTGAAGAACCTTTCTGTTTCACAAAAGGGTTTTGTGGCGAAAAAAGGTTCTTGAGATTATAAAAAAGTAATAAAGAGATGGTTCTTTAAAGAACCTTTGACTGAATGGTTCTTTGTGGAACTAAAAATGGTTCTTCTATGGCATCGCTTGAAGAACCTTTTGAAGCAGCTTTATTTTTAAGAGTGTACTAACCTTGTCTGTGTAGTTATATCCAATATAACGGCCTGTAATGACCATATTATAAAGCTCGTAGACCTGGTAAATGTCACATGGTACGTGCAAGGATACCAGAAAGGGACGTGACATAACTTGTAAAATACTGAGCTCCACACACAGGATTTACATCAGGAAACATGTAATAAAATACCACTTTTAAAAATACAGTATAAACTTTGCAGCTATACATTTTTGTATCAAAAAAAATATTTAGATTTTTGCCTTTTCCTAATGTCTTGCATTATAAGTTCATTACTGCATTTTTCTATAGAAGCTGCATATAGATTATGCCACAGATTATGTCTATAGAGCTTACCTAGGAATATAAATAAACCTTTTATTCCCATTCTAACAAATATAATATATAATAAATAAAATAATTTTGCTTTCCATCAGTGGCGTTTCACCAAAAAGCCTTTCATAGCTCTCATGCTGTGGCTGTGCAACACAATACAAATGACTGATACATTGAAGCTTGCTTGGTTTCTATGCTGACCTCATTGAAAGCGTTCACATTAAACCCTTTTACATACAAAATCACTGTGCATTGCTTAGTGCTCTTGAGTGCCCTTTTCTACTTGACTGAGTTCACATTTACTCAGGGAGTTATGAAACACTTTCAACTCTTACGGCGTTCTCACAAATTGGTCTCATGGCTCGACACACCGCTGTGCGCTCATGATTAAAAGGTCTTGTATTGCCATAATGACATTGCTCTCTCTAGGATGATGGTTCACAGGAACAAATGACTTCCATACAATAGTTAGAAACAGCAATGAGGCAAAAGTGTTGTATCAGAAAGACACAAAAATGGATGAATTGGTTGTCTCAGCATTTTGGATTAGTCAATTTCTCCATAGCTTTCAACAAAACAAGGCTGCACAGCTGTGAAAAGGTAACAGCTGCATGCCATGAACTCATCCTCAGAGTAAATTGGTAACATATGATGACCTCTTGACTTAACATTGGGTGAATTGGGTGTTGGCAATGGGAATGCTGCACATTTAGTTTTTGTTATTTGCATTGTTGCCAACCGGGTTTTTCAGGACGAGTAGCGTAATCGCAGCTCCATCTAGTGGCAATAGTATGCTAGCAGGGTTTTTTTGTTCCCTCAACCCTTTTGTCCGTAATGTTATTGAATATATTCATTTAATATTTTCAATATTTTGACCTCTTCCCATATTTTGTGATTCTAGAGGTTTCAAGTATCTGTTCTCTCTCTCTCTCTCTCTCTCTCTCTCTCTCTCTCTCTCTCTCTCTCTCTCTCTTTGTCTGTATTTTTTTTTTTTTCAGTCGGGAGAAAGATGGTTAGAGGTTTAGAGGTTTCAAGTATCTGTTTTTTCTCTCTCTCTCTCTCTCTCTCTCTCTCTCTCTCTCTCTCTCTCTCTGTGTATATATATGTTTATAAATATATAATATAAACGTGTGTGTGTTTAAAATTATATTGTGTATTTAAAACATTATTCAGTTTATTAGTACAATTACAGAAACAAATATGCATCACATTATGTTTATTAGTTGTTTATGTTTGTGTTATCCAAATAGATGTAAACCTAAATATGTTTGAATGTATTTTCTGCAATAAAAACTATAGTTTTTGAGGGGGGAAGTTTTACATATATTTTTTTAGCATTTTAGCATATTTAATTTATTTAATTACAGTTGTTTTTCTTAAATATATAATTAATAATTTAAGTACTTAATTATTTAGCTGATAGTTTACATATGTGTGACAAACCAGGAAATCTTATGTGTTCCCACATGTAGGACCAGGACAAGCCCAGTCCCCCACAAAAACCACTTCCTGCAGACCCCTTAATCAGAGGCCACAGGGTGGATCGAAGCATGTCCATGGTGGGAGAGCGGATACATCGACCTCTAGCCATCCCGATTCCAACAGTACCCCGACCACCCCCTGCCATACCACTGCCAAACAGGTCAGTCCCATTGTGATACTGCTGGCAAAATCACATATTTATGGATGACAACTAACTGCATTTTTTTGGATACATTCTAGACCTCTTCCCAGATTACCACGGCCCTTTTGTAATCACTGACACATGGACACCACAGCACTGGGTGAATTTCACCAGCATCTGAACACACTTGTTTGCACTATGAAAACTGTGTTGGACCAAGTGACGACCCCTGCAGAAACTCCACGGAGGGTCTCACAGAGAAGAGGGCTGACCGGACACCTTGGTGCTGCGCCTCCTCAGAAAAGGTGTTTGTTTGTCCTCGCTCAGGTACTGCAGAAGTATTTAAGATGTATATTTATTGTGAGGAGGAAACTGTGCTGTGCTTGACACTCTTTTTACTGTATGACAATTTTTGTTTGTTTTTACATGTTGAAAATAATGCTGATTGAAAATTAGGTGGCAAATCATGTTTTTCATTCTTTTTAAGTGTTTTTCCCCCCTCAATTTATCTTATGGTAAAACTTACTTTGGTGTTGTGAAGATCAAAACAGACCTGCTTTAAAATGAAGCAGCATGTCTCGGATACTGGAGTATAAGCAACCTGAAATCTGAATGACTAAACACAGCGCTGGAATGGAATGAGCCACTAAGTGCAAAAAAAACCCTTCACAATTACTTGAATGAGGCATGTCAGGAAGGAGAAAAAGATATGAGCCATTATTCAGTCATAGTTCAATCACCAGTGGCAGTCATGCTTATGGGCTTTGACAAACCAACTTTTCGTGAACTGCAGTACCTTAAAAGTATATGTGCTTAGCAGTGCTGCAGTATCTGCCAAAGCAAGAATCATTGCTACAACGTTAGCCCTAAGCATTCAACTTACGGACAAGAACGATACCTCAAATTATGTGGCTTCCTGAGGAGAGATGTGCTGAACAATTAAACAGGCAAAATATACCTTATTATATTGATTGATATAATTATATTAGTTATATTGACTCTAGGGGCAGAGACATATCTAGACAGCAGAATATGCATAGCAACTACATGGCAATGGCATATCTTCAGAAAATGAAAAATCCCATCAGTATTTATAGTCCAAACACTCCTTTTTCCAACATGTTTTGAAACATTCAGAGAAATACCAGTGGCAACACAGAATATGTAGTGACACCACAGACCTTAAAATATCACAGAATCGCAGCTCAGCATTCCCACTGAGCCAGCAGGATCCAGCAGCTGTCATGTCTGTGTCATTATGGCCTTGTTGTGCTGTATACACACATTCTGTGAAATATCTTCCAATACTTGAGGTTATAGATGTTGAATTTTCTGTACTGTTTTTCTTGTATTATTTTTGATGGTATACACTACCAATCAAAAGTTTAGGGTCAGTGAAACTTTCTTTCAAAGAAATTAATCAAAAGTGACAGTAAATATATTCACAATGTTACAAAATATTTCTATTTCAAATAAATGCTGTTCTTCATCAACATTTATAATATAAACATAAGGAAATGCTTCTTAGGCTTCAAATCAGCATATTAGAATGATTTCTGAAGGATCGTGTGACACTGAAGACTGGAGTAATGGTTGCTAAAAGTCAGCTTTGCGTCACAGGAATAAAGTACATTTTAAAATATATTAAAATAGAAAACAGTTATTTTAAATTGTGATAATATTCCACAATATCACTTTTTTTATCAATTAAATGCAGCTTTGCAAAAGAATTGCAGAAAAAAAAAGTTTTCAATCTTACTGACCCCAAACTTTTGATTGATTAAAGGAGTCTTTTTAGCCAATTAAAATCATTACCTTCTAAAAAAAAAAAGTGTTTGACATCAAAATAATGTGAAGTACACAGGATGTAGTAAATATCACTGCTGGTGTGTGTTATCACAACTATGGCATTTTTACGCAAGTGGTTCTCTCTCTTGCCCATAACACAGCACTCTATATGCACAGCTGGAAGTTTTTCAAAAGCTTATGGGATTGTTGTTCTGCTTGGTACTTCACCCTGAGGGGGAAATTTTCCCACATAATATTCCAACATTGTTGCTTTGGGAGTATATTAAACCCAGCTGTCACATTATTTAATTCAAGCCAAGCTTGTGTGTGTTTCTTTATGTTCTTGTTTACCTATTCACAGCAATGTATGTACATTTCACCTTTTTATATGCACTCACGTGGATGTAATAAATGCTCTTTTTTTTTGGACAGATAATCTGTCAATCTGTCATCAAAGATGACTGCTCAGTTTTTGCCCTGGGTGTTGAATTCATTGTGTAACAGTTTTATATACAACAAAATCCATTTTTATTTCTATGAATTACCGTAGGTAGGATATTAAAAGGGAAATGTGAATGCCTTCAAAAAAATGAAACTAGATACTGGTAATGCAATTCTCGTTAAATGACTTGAACGAGAATAATAAATGAGGATATTACTATCATGAATTCAATTTCATTTTATTTTACAGGGTCCACTACAGTAGCATAAAAGTTGTTTTTTAATAACTCAAAGCTTTAATGTAATGTGTAAAATGACATTAAGGTATTATAAGAGAATTGTACCGTTGATGTCAGTCGATTTGAATCTTCCAAGCTAATATTATCCAGCAAGTTTATGATGTTCTGAAACAGAAATTGTCTTTTTGTTCCAAGCTACAAAATAATATTAATTCGTTCATGTATAGTTTGTCAGGTTACCTGTCTCCCAAATGCTTTTGCCATATCCGCTGCACCAGCTCCATACTACATTAGGGTGTAAATATAATTTTAGTGTTATCAGTTTTCCTGTGGCAAATTGCACTACTCTTATTGTTTAATTATTTATGTATTATGAATATAATAATGATCATAATCTGTTACCTCGTTCTTCATGTGATGATCTGCTCCACCATAAAGCAGAAGTTTCACCAGTTCCACATGATTATTCAGCACAGCGACCTGAAAAATTATTACCAAAAAAAAAATCTTAATGATGTCATCCATCTTGTCCTCAGAACTTCTAGTGGCTGTTTTGATGATAAATACCATTAGTGGTGTCTTGCCAGCTTTGTCACGGACGTTTACATCAGCTCCAGCCTGGAGGAGGATGGAGGCGACCGCAGCGTTTCCACTGATGGTTGACACACGCATGAGAGGAGTCCAGAGAGACAAAAAAAACACGTTTTCAACTTACAATACAGGGTCCATCTCAACATTAGTATTAGGCCACCCTAGACGGTGCATCTAAAAAAAGAGAATTTTGTGAAACATCATTGCTATAGAGGTAAACTGAATTTTCTGAAACTTCAGATCATATGACATATCTTTAAAGGAATAGTCCAGGGGTGGCGAACTCCGGTCCTGGAGAGCCGCAGCCCTGCAGAGTTCAGCTCCAACCCTAATTAAAACTCACCTGCCTGTAGCTTTCTAGTAACCCTTCAGACCTTGATTAGCTTGTTCAGGTGTGTTTGATTAGGGTTGAAGCAAAACTCTGCAGGGCTGCGGCTCTCCAGGACCGACGTTCGCCACCCCTGGAATAGTCACTCAAAAATTTGCTTAAAATGTACTCACCCACAGGCCATTTAAGAAGTTTCTTCATCGGATAGATTTTGCATTATATCACTTGTTCATCTGATCCTCTGTAGTGAATGAATGCTGTCAGAATGAGCTGATAAAAACATCACAATAATTGTTTGGAAAATCCATCCAAATTTATTTAACAAAGTTTGGGAGGAGCATGTTCTGGTAATCTAACCAATCAGTGCAAGAGGAGGCTGGAATATACAGCCGTCCCTCACCTCTATCCCGTGACAGCTTCACAGCATCCCTCCACCATCCCATCGCCTCACTCTTGTCTGTTTCCCATCCCAGTAATAAAGGGGGGAGTACTCTGGGTTCGGGCCAAAATATCAAGCTCTGAGTCCTCCCCCGGACAGCACGACAAATAATCATACTTTATTATAACTGATTGTATGTGAACTTGTGAAATAAATCCATCAAGACATTTTTAACTTCAAATTGCTTCCACCTTTTTTCAAGGAGAAAGTCATCTCATCAGAATCAGGAGAGAAATATGCACCGATCAAGCACCGTTTGCAAGCGAGAACAGTTCTAAACAAATATGTGAATTTTGATGTGAGAGGGGATGGACTTTTTCACTGGAGGAAGCGTTATGGATTATGGATTTGTATTTTGACCAGAAGCGACAGTTTAAAGTTAAAACGCATTAATGATAGATTTGTTTTTAATAAACACACAGCTTTTCACTTCACAATACATTAATTGATGGACTGTAGTCATGCTGATTACTTGTGGATTATTGTGATGCTTTTATCAGACTGATATATGTTTGGACTCTCATTCTGACGGCACCCATTCACTGCAGAGGATCCATTGGTGAACAAGTGATGTAATGCTAAATTTGTCAAAATCTGTTCCAATGAAGGAAAAAAACTCTCTTACATCTTGGATGGCCTTTGGATGAGTACATTTTCAGCAATTTTTCATTTTTGGGTGAACTATTCCTTTATTGTCCTCTCACCTCACAACCATCCTAGATCATATATGTAATGACCAGTGTTGGGCAGTAACGCGTTACTAGTAACGCGTTACTGTTGTAATGACAGGCAGGTGTCCTCCATCCACGGCCCAGTGGAGCGGTGTGCAGCTGTCTGTATCTTGAGATTGCCAAGTGGAGCCGCAGTTATGTAAATACTTCACTGTGTCAAGGTGGCCGGCAAAACAGGCCTACATTATACAAAAAAAAAAAAACATGCATACATAAAAATATACATGTTAGAAGACATGAATTATACAATTCAACTGCATTGAAAAAGCATATGCAGGCACAACTGTCTTTTCCAGTGCTGTCTTTCTTGTTAATATCAGCTCCATGCTTCACCAAAATGTCCACTAAGCTACAAACCAAACAATCATTATTAGAAATATATGACTATATTTCAACAAACGACACTTTTCTTTCATTAAACCGCACAGCAATAACTACAAACAGACTAATGGGAGATTCTTGCTGAGTCTTGCTGTGAATTCATCTCTCTGTTTGCATCCAGCTTTGTGTTTAAACGAGTAACATCAGAAGCACGTTTACCTGGTGAAACCTTTCTGTGCTGCCACCATGAGAGGACTGAAACCCATTTTGTCATAAACATCCACGTCATCTGTTCTAGGAAAGAAATTACATGAAAGGGGTTTTGAATGATGTGTGAACTGGCATTTAAGGGGATATTTCACCTAAAGATGAACATTTAGTCATCATTAATAACTCTATTCCACAGAAGAAAGATAGTCATACAGATTTAGAATGGCATAAGAGTGATTAAAGATGACAAGTTTGTAATTTTTGGGTGAAATATTCCTTGAATTAGTACAATGTTAGCACTAATATAGAATATGAAGACTCTTGAAGTGTGAGTGTGGTCTTACAGATGGTCAGTAAGTCTCACCCTGACTGTAGAACTGTGGTCAGCTCCTCATCATCCGCCCTGTGCACAGCCTGGTGGAGGTTCTTCCCACTGAAAGGCTCTCCTGTGGCCAAACCATCAAAACATTAACCAAATAAACTACCATTCAAAAGTTAGGGGTCAGTAAGATTTTTTTTAATATATATTTTTAAAAGAAGTCTTTGCGAGGCTGTATTTATTTGATAAAAACTACAGTAAAATTGTAAAATATTATTAGAATTTAAAATAAGTGTTTTCTATTTTAATATATTTTCAAATGTAATTTATTCCTGTGATGGTAAAGCTGAATTTTCAGTATCATTACTCCAGTCTTCAGTGTCACATTACCCTTCAAAAATGTAATATGCTGATTTGCTGCTTGTGATAAATCAAGTTCAAAAGAACAAGATATATATGAAATATAAATCTTATGTAACATTATAAATGTCTTTAGTCAATTTTGATCAATTTACTGTGTGTCTGCTGAATAACACTATTAATAAAAAAAAATAAAAAAATACTGATCCTAGAATTTTGAACTGTAGTGTAGTGAACTCCTAAAAGAGTCTGTTTCTACCAATAACAGCTGAGAGGAGCATGGGATTACTAGGTTTAAAGTAAGAAAATAATAGACCAAGTTGACTGGAGATCAAATATCTCACGGGTGGTGAAGACAGAGGGCACAGGGCTGAGGCTGCACTCCCCTGAGGCTCTGGTGACTCTCAGTCTAAAACCATAGGAGGTCCTGGGCTCCAAGCCCTTACAACATGATGGGTGCTGTACCCTTTGTGATAAAACACCAAAATGTTGTTATTACAAGGTGTCTTGCTAAACTGCAGGTTTTGAATATGTTGCAATAACTTTCATATTTAAAAAAAAATCTTCAGTGTCAAACAGAGAAAACTGACATGTATACGGTGCTGTATGTATGTGTTTTGGGGTCCATCTGCTCCACAGAGAAGCGTGTCCAGCGTTCAGGGGGGCCATTTCGAGGTTTATTCTCTGCATTCATCCAGCTCAGCTCGATACTGTGGTGACTGACCTTCCCAATCACAAGAGGAAGCTCTGGATATTTTTCTGGCGAAATTGAGAAAATAAATGGCAGATTCTTAATATCATGTAGATTGTTTATATTAAAGTTGTAATGTGAATTTTAGACATATTTAGCTTTGCAGTAATATCCAACACAGTCATATTACTTTGTTTACCATACCTGTGCACCAAGAATAACTAACCACAACAGATTGTTCCTGGATTAGTGATTAAGTTAAAAGTTTATCCATTGCTTTTTAATCACTGTTGCTGGAGAAAACTTTTTATTTTATTTTACACACACACACACACACACACACACACACACACACACACACCTACATACATACATACATACATACATATAAAAAAATATAGGCAACATTTTAGTTTAGGGACCAATTCTCACTATTAACTAGTTGGTTATTAGCATATTAAGCACATATTAATGCCTTATTTTGCATGACCATGTTTTTGATGCCATAATTCTACCCCATACCTAAACTTAACAACTACCTTACTAACTATTAATATGCAGCAAATTAGGAGTTTATTGAGGCAAAAGTTGTAGTTATTAGTTAATAGTGAGAACTGGTTCCCAAACTAAAATGTGACCGAAATTACATAAGGTTTTTGCTTATTACTATATGTTAATCAAGAGAGGAATAAAGCAACTCTGTGGTAACTTTTCTATCAAACATTAAACAGACAGCTTGTAGTTTTCAGCTCTTGCTTGATCTTTCTGTTGCCATCTATTATATTTTGCAAACGTAAACAAGTTTTTGGAAATCTAGTTTAGTTTTTTTTTATGGTAACAAAATGTCCTGACTATTGACTATTGTATAAACTACTAGCCACAAAAAAACAAACAAATCAAAAGTCTACCTGGGTTCATCGCTGTGTCCTTGTAGTGTAGTCGTGTAGAGAAGTCCCCGCACAGAGGATGATGAGTTGTAAGCAGGAGTCTGCTGTGTGTTTGCCTCACTCTCTCTCGCGCACATCTGACTGTGCGAGCTTTACCGTTGTCATGGTGACAGCATCTTTGGCCCATTTGAGTGTTTCTTTTAGTTGCACAAAACACGAGTTTCCAAAATGTGTTCAGATTATAGCATGTTAAATCTTGTTTTAACATGAGAGCGATGTATGGTTATTGAGACTGAACCCTTGTTTTACCCTGTAGTCGACTCACTTTCATCAGATGAGACTCTATTGTGGTGGGATTAAATAACCACATGACCGCTCAAAATCTCTGCTGCTGTGCTTTTGAGCGGTGATTCAGTCCGCCACTGACGGGAAGTTCGAGTCGGTTCTTTCGAACAAATCATTCAAAGAACCGGATCAAAAACGATTCAGTTATTATTTTACGTCATCACGCGGCCCCTGGCATGTTAAATGGTTTGAAGGATTTGAAATAAATACGTTTTGATCACAGTTTATAAAATATGTTAGATCTTGCATTACCACAAAAATGTAAGCCTATATTCATCATAAAATTGCCTTGACATTTTAAGACTTTATTAGTTTACATGACTTTTTCAGGTCTAGAAATAACACTTTTAAAGGGGTCATATGATGTTGCTAAAAAGAACATTATTTTGTGTATTTGGTGTAATGAAATGTGTTTATGCGGTTTAAAGTTAAAAAAACACATTATTTTCCACATACTGTACAATATTGTTTCTCCTCTATGCCCCACCTTTCTGAAACGCCATGATTTTTACAAAGCTCATCGGTCTGAAAAGCGAGGTGTGCTCTGATTGGCCAGCTAACCAGTGTGTTGTGATTGGCCGAATACCTCAAGCGAGTGACGGAAATGTTACGCCCCTCACTATACTGTGATGCCGTGTCCCGGCCGGAGTGACGAGACAAAAACATGAAAACCCATTACAAACGAGGCATTTGTTGCATCCAGTGGGGACATAATTACTGATTATAATGACTTATACTGTCTTTTTACGCGTTGCGTGGCTGACTCTTAACTTTTATAAAGAATATCTCTTTGGATTTGAGACTTTAGTCTTTGCAACTTTACAGATCTTCTTTATGCACCAAGAGCTTGTAACACTCCAAAGAGAAAGGAAAAATTGAAATCGCATCATATGACCCCTTTAAATGTCATCTTGAGGCCCCCTGGACTCGCTGATGCCCCCTAGTGGGCCCCCTGGTTGAGAACCTTTGAATGTATGGCTACATTTTTATAATGAGGGTGGTTATTTTGTCATTTTATGTGTCCACATTCAGTTTGTTGCAGTTATAATTCAGCTGATTAAACATGCCTGAATTTACAATAAACAACTCTATAAATCAATGTACATTGCTTGACTAAAAACATTTTTCATGTTTTCATAATTTATTCAGATCAGCTCAGTTTCATGTCTTGATAAAACCGTCAATCAAAATTTCTGCTATTAAACTTCTTTTTATTCATTAAGTAAATATTTAATACACTTTAAATGCTCTTCCTAGCACTGACTCGAGAACAACTCCAACCGATTCAGTGCTACTGGCGAACGACCGGTTCTCGGTTCATTAAAAAGATCCAATTCAAAAGAAAGATTCGTTCACGAATCGGACATCTCTAGTGCGCTGAGCGGACTACTGGTGACACAAAGGGCCTGTCTCTCCAGAGCGCGGGTTCCTAAAACTCATCTGGAGGAGGTAGCCTGTTTAGACCATAAATATGTCACATAACTAACAGAGCGTGATTCAGTCGATTTGTTCAGTTTGATTTAATTGTCCAATTGAAGAGAGAGACGCATTAGGGCAACGATGGAGCTGGAGCTATCAACAGATGGGGAGGAACTATCTGAAACCAGCGAAACTCAAGATATTGATACGGATGATCTGCTGGAGTTAAATCAGTTCGACGGGCTCCCTTTTTCTTCAAGGTATTACAAACTATTAAACGAAAGAAAAGGTCTGCCGGTGTGGGGAGCGAAATGCGAGTTTATGGACAGTTTGATGAGCAGCCAGGTTGTGATAGTTACTGGCACAGCTAAAACAGGGCAAAGCACTCAGAGTTAATATTAATATTTTATTTGGTATGTCAAACCTCATTGCATATTCAGGATAAATAGGGCTGAATTTTGAACAGAACATAAGTTACTATTAGATTTAATTTAATGTGAACATTATATTGCATTACATCGCTTCATCTATTATGCAAAAGATCATATACTATGGGGTAGATGCAACGTAGTCATTACTGCTAGTTCATTTGTCACTGAAAGTATCAAATGTATCTTATTTGTGAGTGTTTCATTTTTGAATAGCCTTACAGCATGTGGTTTTCTGTGTTAATCTTCATTTAGGTCCCTCAGTGGTGTGCAGAGTTTTGCCTGTCTGCGCAGTATCAGAATGGCATGGTAGTGTGTACCCAGATTCACCAGCAGAGCACTGTGGAACTGGCCCTCCGTGTGGCCGACGAGATGGACGTCAACATCGGCAGCGAGGTTGGATACAGCATCCCACTTCAGACCTGCTGCTCGCCTGATACTGTACTGAGGTGTGTATCTGATCCCTAGGCATGTTCAGTAATGTAAAGTTTGAACGGCATTATTTGGTCATTTTCCCTGGACTTTTTCTTCCATTCAATTCTGCAATCTGCCCCTCCCCCCTTCATTCCCACCACACGTGCATCTCTTTTCAGGGGCGCCTGTCCTTCTAAACAATATAAAAGCTAACAAAAGGCTGAGGGGGATCGGTCTGAGGGTCTCCACGGCAGCTGCCGTGTTTCTGTACTGCCCATATGCTTCATCAGAGCTTTCAGAGCGGCAATAAGTCAGTCTGGCGAACAAAGAGCCAGAACTGTGATTTGAACAGCTGAGAAGGTCTGACTTAATGAAAACACTGACCTTAAGGAAAACACTGACAATTCCCAGAGTAAATTATCATCCAATCACGTCTGCTTGTTTTCAGTTAGCTTGTTATTTTTGTTTGTAGACGTATACAAGGATTTTGTATTGAATCGATGCTGATTTGCACTCTTGAAGAAGCCTGCAGTGACATCTGTTGCTTTGCAGATATTGCACAGATGATGTGTTGCTCCGGGAAATGATGTCGGACCCCCTCTTGGAGCAGTGTGGTGTGGTGGTCATTGATCAGGCCCAGGAACGCACCGTCAGCACAGACCTTCTCCTCGGGCTGCTCAAAGACGTGCTCCTCACACGGCCAGAGCTCAGGCTGGTCATCCTCAGCACCCCTCACTCCGCAGAGAAACTGCTACGTCGCTGTGGAAGTGTTCCTCAGATCTGTCTGGAAGGGCCACGGCCGTGCGAGGTGGTGTACGGCAGTGGGAGAGGAGGTGTGAAGGATTACCTCTGCTCTGCTCTTAGACTGGCTCTGGAGATACATCAGAATCAAAAGCATGGAGACATTGTGACATTTCTGGCAACTGAGCAAGTAAGAGACATTTCAACTTTAATAGGTGAGCTAGTGCTAAACTTTTGTAATTGTTTACATTTTGTTGACATTTTAAAAATATTTATTATTCACAAATAATTTTATTAAACAAATAAATGACATTCTTTACATATAATATAAAATAATATAAGTAAACTATAAGTTGTTTTTATAATTAGTATTTATTGTTAATATTACTTTTTATAAAGTAAATTATTACATTTAATTTATTAATACATAAAACAATATACAATTATTTATAAGTGGATATTTAATTATAATTAAATATATAATCTCCTGTTTGCTTTGTGTGTAAACAGACATATAGTACTCTCAGTACTTTACAGACCGAAGAACTCACATCTAAAATTATATTATATATTACAGTGTTTTATATATATAGCATTTTATGTATTACATAGATGCTGATTTGCATTTAAATGTATTATGTATTTCTATATATATATATATAATGATATATCTATAATATATTGATAATAATATATCTACAATAATATAGTAATTAGTCAGATTTCATATTTTTATCTTTTATAATGTATATATGTAAGTGCTGTCAAACGATTAATCACATCCAAAATCCAAAAACGTTTTTGTTTACAAAATATATGTGTGTACTGTGTAGATTTATGATCAGCAAGAGCCAAGCTGAGAGCCGCAAACAACTTGCAGGCCCAACAGGTGAGCACTTTTTGCTTTCAAAAATAAAGACATAATTAATTTTAATACATCTTAAAATGAATAAAATAATTACACACATTGCCGTTCAAAGGTTTGGGGTCAGATTTTTTTTTCTTGAAAGAAATTAATACTTTTATTCGGCTAAGACACATTAAATTGATCAAAAGTGTCAGCAAAGACATTCATAATATTACAAAAAAATCTATTTCAAATAAATTATGTTCTTTTGAACTTTCAGTTCATCAAAGAAAAAACATGTATCATGTTTTTCTACAAAAAATATCAAGCAGCACAACTGTTTTCAACATTGATAATAATTGGAAATGTTTCTTGAGCAGCAAATCAGCATATTAGAGTGATTCTGAAGGATCATGTGACACTGAAGACTGGAGTAATGATGCTGAAAATTCAGCTTTCCCATCACATGAATAAATAACATTTTATAACATATTAAAATTGCAATAATATTTCACAATATTATTAATTGTACTGAATTTTTGACCAAATAAATGCAGTCTTGGTGAACATAGTCAAAAACATTTAAAAAGTCTTACTTTTTTTATTTCAAGTTTGTTTACTTGAAATAAAAGTGTTTCTTAAAATTTTTGCCATGCATTGAATCATATGCCTGAAATGTTTTATTTCTGCAGGCAAATGTTTCTGTTTGTATCAAGAGGACACGCCACTTCCTGCTGAGAACATCCCTCATATTCTTGATTCTGACATTACTTCCACCGTGCTCTTCCTGAAGCGCATGGAAATTGCTGGCCTGAGCCACTGTGACTTCATTGACAG